AAAAAAAAAAAAAAAAAAAAAAAAAAAAAATCAAAATTTTGAAAAAAGTTTTAATAAGCTAAACTAACCTTATTTCTTGGTTTTGAGGTAGATCAAGATGTTTTTTGGATCAAGATTTAAATTTAGAGCCCGCCATTTATTGTTTGATGGAGAGAGAGTGTTGTGAATGAGACAGGCCAAACTTGACGGAGACGATTTGTAGATTAAGGATTCAATAGCAAAATGCTTCTATGCTTTTCTTTTGCAGCAACTTAAAAAACCCGTTTTATTTTACTTATTTATTTATTTATTTATTTATTTATTATTATTATTATTATTATTATTATTATATTATTATTATTATTTGAACTTGTTAAAAAACTCAATGACCCGGGACTGTAAAAGAAAGTTCACCATGTGGACATCCACTCCAAAATTATTATAACTCCCCTTTTATTAAACCCTAGTAAAATTCACAAAACCCCCAACCTGAAACAGAGCTTCCTCTCGTTCAAAAAAGAAAACGAAACCGAGCTTCCTCTCCACTCAACATCAACATGTCCGATATATCCCCAGAATCCATTGTCATCCAGCTCCCCGACGAGCATCCCCGGCTACCGCTCGACATAGCCGAGAACATCCTCTGCCGCCTCCCGGTGAAGACCCTCAAGCGCTTCCGGGCCGTCGAGAAATCGTGGCGTGCCCTGATCGACAGCGAGAGCTTCGCCAAGGCGCACTTCGACCGCTCTCTTGCTTCCAAGTCCAACCGGAACATCATCAGTGGTGTCTTCGGCTTCCACTCGATGAATCTCGAGTCTCTCAGCTGCCCGGTAGACATGGACCCGCCGTTCGAGTACAACAACAAGGACGTCGACTCCACTTCGAGATCCGTGAACGGCTTGGTCGTGGTCACGAGAGAGACCGAGCCTCCGATTATGTGGAACGTCTTCGCCAGAGAGCACAAGGTTCTGCCGAAGTGCCCGGTTAAATTGGCACCCAGATTGGCCAATGCCTGCGAGAGCATGTACGGGTTTGCCTATGACGAGGAGAATGACGACTATAAGGTCGTCAAGGTCATGTGGCATAAAAAAAGGCCCTTGTCGGAGGAGTGGATGTACAGCCTGAGGTCGGATTCATGGAGGAAAACCAAGGGCATGAAGTACCAGATGGGACACTGGCCCGTCCCCTTCCGAGGCGCTTTGCATGCGCTCGTTGTCAATGATGACATGAAGCTGATGGGTTTCAACGTCATGACGGAGACGAATTTTGAGTTGCCGTTGCCCACGTTCGACTACGATATTGAGCGTCCTCATTTGACGCTCGAGCTATTCGACGGGACCATGCTAGCTCTGGCATGTGTGTATGCTTCAAAGGTTGTGATTTGGGTGATGAGGGAGTACAGGGTGGCGGAGTCGTGGCAGGTGATATTCTCCATGCCCAACACGCAGGGGCCCATGTGGCCTCTTGCTCTCTCGAAGGACGGTGAGAAGATACTCTTCAACTACCGTGGTACTCAATTTGCCTATTTTGGCGTGAGGGAGCATAGTGTGCAGGACATTGCCTTGCCATATATTGTGTGGCCGAGACTTATAGTGGAGACTTTGATTTCCCCGCATTTCTGGGACAAGAGGAAAACTTTGGAAGAAAACTCGACGAAGGAGCAGAAGAAGATTGGGGGTAAGGGGAGCAAGGGCAGGAAGAAGAAGGAGAGCAAGACAAAGGGGAGTAAGGTCAACATTTTGTCATTTTTCATCTTCTTAGTTGTGCTAATATGTAATACTAATAGTGTGTTCATGTATTAGGTTCCTATATGGTTCATACTTCATATGAATTAATAGTTCTCCTTTTTATTTTGCAGGATGACCATGACCTCTCAGCTGCATTCAACTCGGTTCTTTGAAATCCATGAGGTGCTTATGTTCTTGTCTATGCCTAGTTTTTTCTGTGCCTCTCTTCTTTCAGAAAGCTGGTTGTGAATCTTAAGTAGAACCGAAAATGTTAATTTGATGTTGGGAATTTATTTTTTTGGTGTAGTCATGTAAAGTCTCCTAGAATATTGCTTACAGGATTGTCTTGGTCTCTGTGAATGTAATGGTTTCAAGTGTTGTGTTGTCACTGATTTGCATTATTTGGCTTTGCTTATCTGCTGATAGCTCACAGCGGTGCACCCTGTACCAGCTTTTCTACTTGTAGCAGCATGAATGTATCGGCAGGACTTGTTAGTAATACAGACTAGAATATCATCCCTCACTAGTATTCGAGTTAGCATTAGTAACTAAAATGTGATTCTAAAATTGTGATAAGTTATAAAGGTTATTTATGTGATCTGCAAAATGTCAATTATGAAGAGAAATGACATGCAGATAGTCTGATCCTACTCGGGGCAACTATCTGGTTTTATGCATAGATGTTCTGAACGAATGAATAGCTATAACTTCTCGAATACAAGAAGATCTCTTCTTCCTCTGTTATTCCCTTTTCGTTTTCTTTTGTTTTTCATCATCTTTTGTTGGTTAGTTTGCTGGTTCATGTGTCTATGTAGCTAACTGACTATAGGGAGAAATGTTGGGTCTCTAACTGATTTAAATCCATGAGGTGCTTATGTTCTTGTCTATGCCTTTCTTCTTTCTGAAAGCTGGTTGTGAATCTAAATTAAAAACAAAAATGCTAATTTGATGCTGGGAATCTATTTTTTGGTGTAGTCGTGTAAAGTCGCCGAGTATATTACGTACAGGATGGTCTCAGTCTCTGTGAATGTAATGGTTTCAAGTGTTGTGTTGTCACTGCTTTGCATTATTTAGCTTTTGTTTATCTGCTGATAGCTCACAGCATAGCACCCTGTACCAACTCCTCTACACTTGTAGCAGCATGAATGTTTCGTTCTAACTAGTTAGTAATACAGACCAGAATATCATCCCTCACTAGTATTTGACTTAGCATATATTAGTAACTAAAGTGTGATTAAAAAGTTGTGATAAGTTATAAAGGTTATTTGAGTGATCTGCAAAATGTCAAGTATTAAGAGACATGAGATGCAGATAGTCAGATCGTACGGGGGGAAACTATCTGGTTTTATGTATGTATAGATGTTATGATCGAATGAATAACTATAACGTCTCGAATTACAAAAAATTCTCTCCTTCTTCTGTTATTCCCTTTTCTTTTTCTTTTTTTTTTTTT